ACGAGTGACTCTATAATCACTGGCAGTTCAAGAAACGTCGGGAGCGTTTGACACCTATAGGGGGCGCGATCGCTCCTCCCTTGGCCATCCCTTAGCATAAAGCCCCTTTAGCACATCGAGGTTTTTTACGTTGGCACAGAGGTGTAGATCCTTGGCAGTGACAGCTTCCGCCCGCAACGCCTTGGCCGCGCTCGCCCCTTCCCGCGGCCGTGTTTCTGGATCTCGGTATGTAGCGCGGAGTAAAGTTTTGGCACCTTGACATCCGTAACTAGAGCACTGCACGGGTCGCCTTTTAATGCGAAAGCATTAACTGTTCCATGGAGAGGAGCGGCGTTGTCTGCAACCACGAAAAACGGCACCTAGTATCATTGGTTGAGCGTAACGGCACCTAAAGGCCCATTGACTGAGCGAAGCGGCACCTGTAAATGCAACTCATGAAGCGCGCGCGTTCGGAAATAAAACACAAAGAAAAGCCCAGCACCGCGGATGCTTCATCACGCAAGCCGACGGGGGCGCTCAAGGTCAAAGCCGACGCGCCTCAGAAATAAAGCACAAAAAAAAGCACAGCAAGGCAGATACATCGTCACGGAACGCGTGAAGCTAGCGGGGTTCGCCGCGCCTGCGCAGTGGGAGAACCTGATGTCGCCTCCGGAGCGCTGTATGCGATAGGAAGACGTGGCGCTCTGCTTGTAGGAATGCGCTGCGTGTAGGAATGTTTTCGCGTTCCTACACGTAAAAAGTCTTAGGTGTATCTGCAGAACTTTTTTCTTGAGCTCAGACTCGGCCCGGGCCTGGCGTCATGGTAATTTACTTGCCCGAGCCCGGCCCAGGTACTTGAAAGCAGGCCGAAGCTGAGCCCGAGAAATTTCAACGTTACCCGGCCCGGCCCGGCCCGCCACATTTAGGAGTGGCCCGTGCCCGGCCCAGGCCCCAATTCGATGCTGTGTTGTCTAACCTGCGCCATGTGGAGTACGAAGATATTGAACAAAGTAATTTTATGTACTTAAAGCGACCGTTGGAACTCTGTTGCTGCTACGCAACTTTTTCACCTGTATCCGTACCTGACGGATCTAGGAATAACACGTGAAAATTTGACTAGGCTAGTTGCATTGCGCCCCCAAATAGTGATTTTTGCCTAATAAATTAGAAAATAAAAAAATTGTGGTATAGATGAATTGATCGACACATAGTCCTAATCAATAAATTACAACTGCGACTTCGATGTTTTTTTTTTTTTTTTTTTTTTTTATCTCCAGGACTATTTAACGGTATTAACCAAGATAAATTATTTCCACACTCACGTCGCTTCGAGGATGAATTATCACCGCGCTCACGTGGTCGTTCACGTGGATTCGCGCACATTGTTTAGGCACCGTTTTGTGCCACATTTTCACAGCGTCAGGGATGACGTAATGACCGATGGCGCAGCTAGCAAGGCTACCGTGGGTGGTTGAGAACTAAGCTGCGCTAGGATGAGGCATTTGAACACAGTTTCGCCGGAGCGGGCTGAGAACGTGAGATTTGTTTCTTGATGTAGTCGCTGCGTGTTGCGTTGGGTGTTATTTCGCTATGGTGCATCAACCAGTAGTGAAAGCGGCGTGCTCTTCTCCTCATTTTGAGCATAGAAAACCACGCGATCGGTCTTGTGTTGAGTTTTGTGATGCGCAAGAAACACGACAAAAACATTGTAGAGGCCTAGATGCCTCACTTAGTGAGCAAGAGGAGAGCTGCTACGATATGTGTCGGCTTGCTATGCAGCCGATACCATGGGCATACCTACCGGGGAGGCAAGGGGGGCGCTGGCCGGCGGCGCCCAAGGTATACCAAGGGCCCCGGCCCGGGGGGGGGGGGGGGGAGGGGGGGGGGGGCGTCTGGTTTGCTCTTTTACTCAAGAACAAGTTGGTACTCTACTGGCCGATACATATGGTACTTATCATATCATCGTACTATGCTTGCCACGTATTAATCCATCAATATACAGGTTGCCGTGATTTCTTCAAAAATAATTTATGATTGCGTACATAATCGCGGTTCATTTCTCCCGCCGCGCAGGCGAAGTTCTACGTAAACATACTAAGTGGCACCAGCGTAAAGAAAACTATGTTCTTGTTCTCTGGGTCGCTAAGACAAGTTGAACGGTATTAGCAAAAGTGAGCTAAACTAATTCCACATTGAATTTTCACACTAATACCAGACCTACTATTTGCATTCGTTGGCGTGCCGTGATCGGGCTCGGCCGCAGCCCCGAGTTCGATCCAGGCCCGCAAGGTGCTTGCCCGAGCGCGGCCCGAGCCCGGAGTCAAAAGCCCGAGTGCAGTCCGGGCCCGGGGATCAAATCCCGGGCCCGACCCAAGCCCACCAAAAAACCTTCTTGCTCGGCCGGGCTCGGGCTTTCGGGTAAGCCCGAGCCCGTACTGTGCTCTATCCGAAACCTCTCCACGTCCCAGCGTTGTTCTGTGTGTGTTTTCCGCGATTTGACCCGCAGGAGGTGCTGGGAGATTGGGTTCACTAGTGTATCCCGCAGTTGTAATCGGCAACGGCGGCAACATCCGTATAATGCGAGACTTGCTGGTGTGTCTGCAACGATACACTTTGTGTGTCTTGTAAAAATTTACTATTTGAGCCTTAGAAACACCATCGGTTGTTGCTCATGGCGAGCATGCAGTCAACACCATACCGCAGTGCGGTCTGTTTACCACCGCCGGAAAATACACATACGAAGTGCTTGTGTGTTCGACGGTTTCGTAATCACTAAGGTACGACATTCACCAGTAATTTATAAAACTTACGTTATAAAAACTCTTCGTTTCTCTTTTTATCGAATCGCCCTTCGCTGGTTAAATGATCGAGTAGACGTACTGGGACTGGGATCCTGGCGGCCATTACACCGGCGCAGAGGGAGAGTCTGCGTTCTCAAGTTCCAGATGTCGTATAAGAAAAAAAATGTTATCGCCGAGTGTTCCACCGAACGTTTTGTATAGCTTTGCGCTCAGGTAAGGTATTGATTGTACACCAAGGTTGGCTGCAATACTGGATGTCTATTAGCGGCGAGATGTTTCGGTGGCGCCCTCGTTCGGTTACCTTTCGTGACGTCATTACCTTGTGAACAACAAGTTCGATGGTGTTTGTAACAGGCATGGTGGAAGCCTGAAATTATAGCGCTCTTAAAGCAACACTGCCAACACCGTAAACATTGAAGTTCTTACATTCCTCTTATTTCTGTCGATGAGACATCCTTTTTGACGTCATAGTCAGCATTCGGCCAATCCCGGAGGGCCGACCACAGCGACGCTTTCGATCGCTCACATCGCCAATACCAGCCCTGCCGTGGTCTACGGGAAATGATTTTGGTAATGCGTACGTTTTTTCTTAGCCATCATTCGAACAAAGGAAAGGGAGTTCTTGTAGATTTAATTCGATCGGTCCGAGAGTTTTAGAAGGTTTTACCAAAACATCTTACCAAGTATAATGTTAGATGTTAGTGTTATGACAAAATAGTAATACGCTGAAACAATCACAGTCGTTGTTGTCCACAGCATATTGAACAACAAAAGTGTGTAGTGTATATGCTTATACAGCCTAGAACTTGGTCGGCCTCAACGGGTGACGAGTCTGGCTCAGCGGTAGATGATAAATTTAGCCGGTGCAGTAGAACCGCTAGCCTGGGGTCTTTAAAGTGCATCACACGACAGTGATACACGACCGCACGCCGGCTCGATGCTCATCCATATTGAAACGGGCAGGGGTGGGGATTGAGCACATTGACACAATAAAGGAGGCAGTTTCTGTTGAATTTAATTTGTTTACACTTTGTTTTATTAAGTGACACCAGTCATTTTTCACTCAACGTGGTTAATTTTAATTGAACCACTGTAAGATTGAAGATTATCTTTTAATAATTTGATAATGCTATAAATAGAAAAAACATTTGAAAAGGTGATTTATAGGAAAAAAAAAATGCCAAATGGAAAATGGTGTCTGCAGGTTAAAAATATAGCGGTCCAAGGGTGGTGCCCTCAGGGCTCTGAGGCGGCAAATTATTAGTCATAATTCATAATTATGAATGGCTGTAAATGAAACCGCAGATGCAAGAAAACTACGCTCCAAAAATGTGTGCGGGTTAACTTTCATAAATGACACGGAAATACCCCAATCGCAGAAAAAAAAAATGATCCCAGCTATTGTCTAAGCTTTTAATACAGTCAGTTGGGGAAAACTTCTATGACGGCTGGGATGTCGACCAAGCAAAAACGCATACACATTCTCTTTGCGCATATTCCTGCGCACATTCTGCGCACATTTCTGCGCACATTTCTGCGCACATTTCTGCGCACATGTGTAATGGTATTCTAAGTGTTGCGTTTCGCAGGGATCAATCTTTTGTTCGCAGTGATTGACTGTCTCCGTGTTCTTCAGTAAAGTAAATGAACGGGTTTTTAGGGTGATCTTATCTAGGAAGATATTTATGGTCGGACGTCATTGAAACGTCAAAGAATATACTAGAGGTTTGGGTTTTACGTTCAAGGCTAGAGTGCCGCTAGTGAAGAAATTTACGCAGCTGAGTTTTTCAAGAGAAACGCCCGCGAAAACCATGCTGGTGGCTTAAGAAAACTGTTGGCGTGCAGGCGAGTCACTATGTTAGAGTATAATATGTGTTGGAGAAATTTAGCTGAGAAACTAGTTAGACAGTTGGGGCCATAGTTACGAGCGGGTGGGCAACCACAAACTTGCCGCAGCGTATAATTAATAGAAATTGCTCCGAAGACCAGCTTGCTGTGAACTGAAAGGACACCGATCTCTTTTAATGAACTATGATTTCCAACAAACAAAATCTATAATTTTTTTTTCGACAACGGGAGCTAGGCGAGCGTGTATTATTTGCCTTAGCTGATCCTATGAAATTGTTGTCTGCGTTGCTCCAAACGTTTAATTCTGGTACGCCACCATGGGTCAACACGATGGGAAAAATTTAGCCGTTTTACAGGAAATAAAAACCTCACCTCTTGTGGAAGTCGGCGAGGGGGGTGTGCTTTGGAAAGCATTATTTTGCAAACCGCAACCATCAGCGACACTTTGCCCTGATTAGGACAAGAAAGGAAGAACAACAAAGAAATCAAATGTTTATCGAAATCAACTAGATTGATGAAAATTCCTGGCATTAATACGCGCAATAACAAACCAGCCATGAAAAGGTCAGATAATGTTGAGTGTGCTCCGGTTTTCCCAAATTGATTCGTACCAATATTTTTTTCTTCGAATTAGGCGCACACTATGACCGTACGCAAAAAAAAAAAAACAAAAAAAAAAAAACAAAAAAAAAAATATAAATTAGTGCAGTGCGAGGCGAGCCCGATCGCATTATCGGCGAAATGTGAAATTCTGAAAATATAATGAGCAGGAAGGACAACATATATTTCATGAGTTATTCTGATATTTACCCTTACTATTTGATTTGCTCCTGAATCATTTGTCGACAAGGGTTTGGAATTGAGTCTGTATATGGGAATATTTTTTCTTTGTAATATACTGTCAAAGATGAAAAAAAAAAACGAAAGCTGTTTTGCAGGCATTACTATGGGCTCATTATTGTTTCTCGTTGTTCTAGACTACCGGAACATTCAGGGCTGGCCGTCATGATATAAAATTAGCAACTCCAATTCACGAGACGCTCAGTAAATGCCCCAAGTTCCAGAAGAGGTGGGGCCCAAATGGGGCCCACGTGGGCCCCCCCCCCCCCCCCCCCCTCTCTTGCGCTACTTAGGGCGCCCCCACTGAGGCGCGTGAGGATACTTCAATCTGCACTGGTTCTGTACGCTGTCTGCTACAGTCTCAGAAGTGCGTCGTGAGGCACTAACCACACTGAAACCTCCGAGAGTGTAATAAAATGAAGCCAGCTCAAATATTTCGAGTGATTGGTGTGTTATCGTTGACGATCAGGCGATATGATCGCACAATACGGCACAGCGATATAAGCAAACCGAGATGGATAAGGCAAACCCAAAGCGACAAAAGTTATCAGTGGAGATAGCAACGCACGGATCACACTAAAGATTTTAGCGGGTTTCCTTTCACTACACTCTCAGAAGTTTCGGTGTGTTTAGCACCTCTCGATACACTCGTAGCACTAACCAATGGCCTTTGTTTAATCCGCCTAACCATTCAAAAGGGCGAGTGGCATTGCGCACCAATAATCTTGCTGTCTGACAAAAAAAGGGCGTTCATATGTATTGCCACTAAGACTGCATGATCATTGAAGCACGCGCCAATAGCCCTTTTTATTGGTTGGACAGATTAAAAGACGAGCAGTGATTGATATTCCTATATAGTGCTTCGTAAGACTGTAGTTAGGCAGGAACATTTGAGAATGCGATCTGGCTCCAACGACGCACCTTTTTCGAACTGGTGGCTGAATCGCTTCTGGGTCAACGACGACCTTCGTCCGTTGTCCTTCAGAACCATCTTCTGTCGGCGACTCCTTATGAATGTGGGAGGCTGCGTCAAAAAGCTAGGCCGCGGCAATGAAGGTTCGTCTCCAAGGGGGTGGGCTTGGGTGGCCAAGTGCGCGTCCCATAGAGATCCCAGCCAAGATTTGCTTCTGCAGGTGCGCGCAAAAACACTGATACAAGTCCACGTGATGCCAAGGTCTCAAGAGCCTGGGAGATAAGTGCGCTACGCGGCAGGCTATCGCGAGCGTCTCTAGTTCACTAAAGCTGTCCGCGAGATGCTTTCAAATTGTATTCTTCTTCAGACAAGATTCTGGGCAAAGTGCCTTGCTTCGAGCTGGAGGTCAGTGACTCGTCGTTGAACAACGAAGCACGTGTTCTGTGGGCCATTCCACACAGATGATTTTGGGTGAAACGGGTGAAACGGGAACAACGTGGGATATGTTCTAATCTGTCATTATCTTAAAAAAGGCCTTCGCGTCTACTTTTCCATAAAGCACACCATCGGTCAATCACTATGATCTACATGACGCGTTTAGTGAATTATGAAGCCCAAAATTCGTATCTGCTTGAAAACCCAATCAGCTTAAGGGCAATAAGCGTTATGTGTTATTGTCCCTAGCAGTAGAACTTACGCTTCTAAAGCTTACTGAAACAAACTTATGGTACTTGTTCGTCTACTTTTGCTTAGAGTAGTCGTTGAGAAAATTTCTGCTATAACCGGAGGCGCTGGTGTGGGGGTCGGCGCTCAGAGTGGGAGGGGGATATCTGCCGAATCCTTGGTGGTTTCGACAAGGCTTGGTGCAAGCTCGTACGTGAGATTATAATTAATTTTCCTGGAGTGGAAAGGAGTGAAGCGATGGGCGACTGCGTAGCGCCGTCTGTTTGAAAGCCTAGCTGGATCCCCAAGCTAGCTTTGCTTTGTTGATATAAGCATACGGCGTTAGGAAGATGGCACCAGCCGTGGGTGGCTTCAGAGTTTACACGCTCGATTCGGATGTGTGTCTTTTCAGGTGACGTTTCGTTGCTGTTGTTACGGTGACCATAGCTGTGAGACTTTAACCGTGCGGAAAAAGACGGCACTGCGGGGAGATCAGGTGCGTGCTTGGGCTATTTCGCTGTGTTTTCTAATGGGCGGAACGTGAGCCAAAAGAGCTTAAAATAAGGACTGAACCTAGATTACTTATTATTTCCAGCGCCTAACATTTTAACCCATATCATAGTAAAATTATGTATGTTTTTGTTCGTTAACCGGCTCTCAGTTCTTTTTTTTAACCTGGAACATGGGGTTGAAGTATCAAATTTTTTATTTTTTATTTATTAATCGATAACTTACGTATTCTATTAATCATTCGTGCCCGCTCACTGCTTCTTTAGGGGCCTTTAATTATTTTTGTTTTATTTAAGGCTATAAAGAGCAATGATAAGCTCACTTGCTTTTATCTGTCGTGTTCATTAGGTAGGAAGCCATTTTCACGTTTCAACTCCTTATAATTTTTATAGTGCGAACCATTTCTATTTTTATATTAACATAATCGTATATTATACAATTAAATGACAATTGTCGACGGATCGGGTTGGGGTGGCGTGCAAGAGCCTGTGGTTTGCTCAGAGGTACAACGGAATAAAAGATATTGTTAAACAGAGGTGCCATCTTTCCCCCTCAATGTTTCGTACGCAAGCCTCGTTCAAACGACCCAATCACTAAAGCGTTTCCCGAGGCTCCAGATGTTTCTTTCGAATTTGAAAAATCTTCTAAGGGCAGTAGGTCGAGTTGAGAAAATAGGTAGACCGGAGCACAAGCGACATTTTTGGAATATTTACTAACTCAACAATGGCTGGCCTAGGATATCCCCGATAATTAACACGATGCAACCTGTGCTATATTTTAACAGACCTCTTGCGAAATCGCACGTTTTGGGGGCACATTTTTTGGACTCCTGAAATGCCAGAGTTTCTGCGCAGGTAAACACAGAACTATGACAGCCCATGGTAGATGAAGTAGACTGGACCGATAATCCTGTTCTGTGGTCCTGGGCTTCTTAAGATATCCGCGAGGCGGGAGGGTTATACTGCACGCAGCCAGGCCGCCAGAAAGATATGGGACGCGGCCGGTCGTACACCTACTCCTCGCTAAATATATATAAGCAGGTCCTTACGGCCGCCGGTGGTCCGTGTTTCAACGGGGGTTCTCACGAAGATGAATAGGTGCGCTGCAAACGAAAGCTGACTTTATTTTCATGCAATGCTGAGATGCAATACTTCGTCAACGGGGCAATCGTAACCCAAACCATGTCACTCCTTTCCAGGGCCAATATGTCCCCTACGGCAACGCGCGCAGTGTTGCGGACAGGGATTTTTGGAAGTGGCCTTTATTTCACTTGTATGAATTCGAAGCTTAGCACGGACAAAGTCACAATTTCGTTTTAAGGTGTTATTCCAAGACTGATGAACTGCACTAGAATGCCCATCATCAAAACAAAAGTTTATGCAACATGCGGTTCTTTAGACCGTCAGGTTCGCGCATCCGAGGATGCCATGCCGGATAGTATCGCCAGCACCTCTTGGAGGAGCATCATCTCGGAACCAAAAAGATTAGCCACCGTTTCCTGGAGCCTGGCTATACGGGTTTGTAGGTTATCAAGGCCCTTGCTGATGTCGTCTTTTAACGCCATTGTTTTTGTTTGGAAGTGTGAGCTCAGTGAAAAGCCATTCTCAAGAGATAATTGCAACTCTTCAAATACGTAATTTTCGGCACCCGTGTTGAGCTCCGAAACAGACTTTACGATTAGATAACATAGACAGTAACTTGTCAAGACGATAGCATTACATTTGGATTTTTTGGAAAGCTTGGTTATATTAGGCACAAACTACATAATACACCCACTAAGTTGAAATGATTAGTCTACAATACGTCTGTGAGTCCTAAACGTGAATATGGAAGCATATTGTGGGATGCTTTTACTAAAAAAGACATAGATAAACTAGAAAGAGTGGGCAGTTAGATTTTTTTTAAATTCAAGCGGTCGGGCTTTCCTTCTTCCCTGATGCAAATGAACGAAACTGAACTGCTGCAGAAACAAAGAGAAATAGGAATACTTACGTTTCTGGTTGTTCTTGCAAACGACAAGCATTCTATTAATTGCGACGCGTATCTAAAAGCGATCAGCACTAAAAAGGTCAGCCATCACCAGCCACATTCCCTGACTCCTTTCTTTGCTCGCACCAACCATTTTAATGTGTTTTTTTTTTTCAACGAAGAATAATGACTGGAATTTCCTTCGTACTGAGGAACTTTGTTCTTCCCAGTTCATGCCTGCATAGGTTTCTTGGGGATAGTTTTGCTGTTGGTTGCTTTGTGGGCTTCTGTATAATTTTGTTTTTGTCGCATTTATATTGAAAATTTCGTGGTGTATATTTTCTTGTAATGCGAACAATATATTTTGTTGTATTCACTCCTGCTTGAACCACCATGGTTTGCGGTACGGTATACATAATAATAATAATAAAAAAAATAAGCCGGCATGGTCGGAGCAGCGCCAGTCGAGGCAGCCTAAAAGGCTATCCAGCGCTTTACTCCAAATTTAAGGGGAGTATTTTTAGATTATGTCGCATCCCGTTGTTTGAACTACGCAAAATCCTGTCAGTGCCGAGGCTCTTGTATTTCCGCAGAGTTAGGTGTATTCCCCTCTAAAGCATTTGGCTGTATCTATGTTGTGTAGGCGGAATCGCGGCACCGCTCTTAAGCGGGTTTCACATGCAGCGATTTTGGCCCTAAAGCGGCGCGATTTCTGCCGTCGCGGCGCTCGTGCCGCAGAATTGCTGGTGCTGGCCAGAGCGCCGCGACGGCAGAAATCGCGCCGCTCTAGGGCCAAAACCGCTGCATGTGAACTAGGCTTTAGTCGTCGGGCAAAGCGAATTATATTGCAATCCCTCTCTTTTGGACTTCGTTTTATTTTAACTCAGAGTGCAGCTGGATCTACGAGCCTATGCGGCCCATGAAGCAGCACGAAAAACACATTGTCGGGGCGCTTCTCGTCTTCCTGTGCGTTTGTTACTATCGGTTACGCAAAGGAAGAGCAATACGCCGTGCACTTGCATTTTTATGCATCTTTTTATGTTTGTATGTCTCCTAGCCTTTGACTGCGCTCTGACTTTTGTTAAGACGAAGTTTAGTCATAGAGGTAGGAAGCTCCTGGAGGAGACATGACGGCACCAAGGCGAAGCCGGGGGAGGCTTCCGGTTTGGAGGGACACGTCCCCAACGGCTGATAAAACTAAAATACGCTAATGGGCGAAAATATTAGGTGATTTGGTGCCAACAGCCCTTTCGGGCACCTTTGGAAGTGTTTCATCGGACCGCGAACTCTACTTCCGGCTTCACTTCGGATTTTCTTGCTTGATTCGCTTGAGCCGGTATGTCCTCTTTTTCTAAATACATGGTGGCAATCTATGGCAGATGGAGTTTCCTCCAGCTGGCAGCATACAAATGCTGGAAATGGTAGATTCCAGAAGCCATATTTTGAAACCTTCTGCACACCGTTCCACTGTTAATGAAGAGGAATAGGTCAACGTGCAATGAAAACATCCGAATGGTGCGTACTTCCCACTGTGACCATGCAGGCAACAACGCAAACGAATCACCAGCTATTGAGACCGAGTCTGTGTGTCGTTACCTGCAGTCTCGGTTTTTTTTTAATCATGTTTAATATACACCAACTCTTTTGCGCCCTAACATTTATATCGTTCACCAGCTAGATTGGCAGCTCCCATTAGATATTAGGGTATTTCGGCTTTTGCCACGGCCTTGACGTTTCCGCGTATTGGCTTGTGCATTGTTAAATTTCCTAAGGGACGAACACGAACCTGTTGGGCTGTTTAAACTGCGTGCCAAGTTGCGGATTTGTAGACACTAGAATTAGGGCTGGGCTTCGATTAAAAGTTTTAACCCGGCTAATCGCTTCCTTTAGTAAATTATTTAATCGATTAATCAGTCGGTTTGATTTCCAGGCATAATGTCCCGAAAAGGGCAAGAGTGCATTACTTATGCTTTTGTTTCTTGGATAAACGCGGCAATGTACATATTAAGCTTTGGATACACCTCTACTATGGGTAAAAAAAATAGCTGCAGAAATCTCT